GAATTACTCAGGTGAACTAAAGTCTATTTAAGTGGATTTATGATCATCATTAATCCCACATCTGTAAAGTAACTCAAGGTATTAAATACATGTAGTGGAGTAAAAGTACATGATTTGCCTCTGAATTGTAGTGGGGTAGAAGTACAAAGTAGCATAAAATGGAAATACTCAAGTAAAGTACAGGTATCTCAAAATTGTACTTAAGTACAGTGCTTGAGTAAATCTAATTTGTTACTTCTCACCTCTGCTCTTTAGTGCTCAATGTCCTGAAGATGCACTCTGCAACCTCACACTGTTGATGATGGATTGATTCTTCATTTCTAACCAAACATTTGTCCCCTGGCAACAGAAATACAACCAAGTCAATGACATCTTCATGAAGAGTGACCATCCAGCAGTCACCCGCACCAAACCCAGGCTCTCCTCACCCTTTCCGATCGCCAACCCAGCTTTCGGGTCCCCACCCCCGCACTACGTCCCCCCGGACCCCTACACCCAGAGCCCGAGCCCCGGAGAATTCAGAGAAGAGGCAGACACACAGGAAGTCGTAACTGCATACAACGAATACATCATCCCCATCCCAGACCCCAAGCCCGACGACGTTTTCACTGATGTCACATCAGAAAGCCCTGCAAGGTACAGAGCTGCTGAAAAAAGATGCTGCAGATGTGAGCCAAATGCTGGGGAGAATAAAGATGAGGATATATTTGTTTTACAAGAGCAGTTCTCTTTTCCACCACACACCCACTCATCCAGATGTTGAGCTGAGACAATAGCTGCATTATGGAGGCAGATATAAACATGCAGCCAAGCACAGTTGGCTCTAAAGCCTAAGTAAATATTTGACTTTTACAAATCCAGATATGTTTACAGTTTGTGTTTTTAATAATGAACATGGACTGTAAAGTATTAGTCTGTTTGTTTAAAGCAGTAAATCAGTTCAGGAGTGATAGCAGATTCCATCCCTGTGTTTTAAATGTTGGCAGTGGGGTGATTCTTCTGCTTACATTTGGGCTATACACTGAACCTTTAACATTGTGGTTAGCAATTGAGGTATTTGACCCCAAGCGGTGTCGGTCCAGGACCACAGACTCATGTCAATAACGATGTTGTGGACACAGCAGGCAGCATCTTAAAATAAAAGTAAACTCAGTAGAGAGTAGATCTCTGCCAGGTGTGACTCCCTCTCCCCTCAAACATATTGAAAAGTTTACCTATAATTGACTCTATTAGTCAAGGTTGTGGCAAATATAACAAAATCAGAGATTTATTCATCTCTTGTTTTGCCTAACTTTAGAGGTTATATAACATATCAGGTATGGAATGAACCGGTACATGCTCCGGTTCAACGTTAGGCTCATGGCTCATGTATTATGCGAGATTAGCTGCGGACAGACGGACAGATACAGACACAACCAAACACATGATCGCTCTCACGCATGCTGTGGATAATAAGAAATATTCAGTACATAGGCAAATCAATAACAAGATGTTTCAACAGGCTTAATAACGGTAAAGTTATGAAAAGCTGAAATAGTTGATTAGTTAGTAGATTGACAAATAATTTGTTGATTAACAAAATAACTGTCTATGTATTTTTTAGCAACATTGAAAATAATGTGTTGGATGCATTCCGTCCAAATCCAGTTATGTCTTTTCTAGTCTGCCAAATTATATACTTTTTTCAGAATGTTGTTTTTTATTTGAAATGGGTCTTGAAGGAACTTGCCACGGTCACACACAGACATTAATGAACACTGTGTATGGGGTGTGTGTTTCTATTTCTTGTATAAAACTGCACAAAGTAAGTGTGTGTTTTGTCTACCCCCCCTCAGCTCTCTGGCTCTGGAGGAGGAGACTGACTCCATGTCGCAGGACACGGCTGACACTCTCCCAGAAGAGGACCGGCCGGAGGACACCAGCGAGAGAGACGCTCTGCTGGGCTGCTCCGGGACGCCCGAGGTAGAAGACAGCTTCTTGTAGCCATGTCTATGAACCCCGAGAAAAATAACCCCTTTTCTGGGAAATTTAATTTGTAATCCTGCCTTAAAAAAGGGAACCTGATTCAACTAGAATGTAGCAAATTTAGACTGAGAGACATTCTCTGTATTGCCACCATGATTTCCTCTAAACACTAGAGAAGTTTTACCCTTTTTTGAGTTTTGTATCAAACTTAATACCTCTGTAACTTAAAAGGCTACCAATAATGATCAGGATGTTATCTTCCAGGCATTTCACGGGAGATTGGGATAATAGATAAGGTACTCTCCTCACACTCTTCTCAGTTTACAGTCAGTAAAGACTTTTTAGTTAAAAAATACTTAGCCATATGTGTCTTTTAAGGCCTCACCCTTAACTGTTCACAACCACTGAATAACACAAAATGATTAGCACAACAATATAAACAAACCATAAACAAATGTACAGAAATACTGTTCAAACAAGAAGATGTGTAGTTCACATTTAAGTGATAATTATTATCATTAAGTCATTTAATTTGAACTTTATGTTACATTTCTTCCTGAAGTACGATCAGTAGCTGTGTTCACTGTATTATAATATTTTTATAAAATGTTATTTCCAGGACATGAAATACAGACAGAATCTACATGCACTGTTTTACTGTGAGAAATAATTTCTTTTTATTTACATATTCCATAGTGATGTTTTTTTAGTTTTTTTTTTTTGATTTATATGAAATGTTTATGAGTTTTTGTGAATTTTATACTTTTAATTCATAGTTTTGTGCCAGATTTGCACTTTATTAAGAAACAAATTGGGATTTTCATAAGGAAGTTATACAGTAAATGTTCTCGACACAAAAAAGGGGAATAGTCCAACTGAGAATCATGTGGCTGTTACAGTAAATCAGTTTCTGTGACCACAGGTGTCTTTCTCAAACTCGTAATACAGCGTATCACTGCCTTAGCACAAGACGGCATGCATGAGTGCCTTTGTATAAACTTTTAAAGATCTTTATCTTGCAGCTATTGTTGATATATAGAGTTATTGTACTGTTGCTGTTTGTGTACATGTTAAATGATGCTTTGAGTCTTCTGTTGTATAGCATTCCCTCACACCATTTCCACTATTAAACACCACACATTATCATTCTCTGTAGCAAAGTAAAATGCACAAGATCACTGTATCACAAGCTACGGTACCAAAGCTCTTTACAAATGTATTTTTTATATGTGCCATTGTATGTTGTAAATGTGACAATAAATGTGTATTATCATAATTGCAGCAGAAGTGTGAGTTTTTTGTGTGACCATTCTATGAATTCGGTTGCTCTCACTGAATGTCCTACTCAGTTGACATCTATTGTTTCCCTCTAAACATGAACAATGACTTTTATTCATCTTAATATGGACTTTCCTCCCTCTACAGTCTATAGTCTTTCTCTGACACCTACTGTAGGTCAGAAGCCCTGTAACTTTAGGTCCCTCTCCCATGATTCTAAACATGAAAAGCCTGAACTGATTAGTCTCACCTCAACGGATGTCTCGGGAGTATCAAGCCTTTCTGTGGCAAGTTGGAACTGGCTCATTAATTAGTTGAGCTTGATGAGCTGATCCGCCTCCCCACACGCACACGCACACGCACACGCACACGCACACGCACACGCACACACACACACACACACACACACACACACACACACACACACACACACACACACACACACACACACACACACAGTTCCCTCCACCCTCCACCACTTGCTGTCTCAGAGATTTCTTGTTTGCTGTGTGGCGTCAGTAGTGAAGAGACTGTAAACAAGCAGAAGGGAGAAGAAGAAGGTCAGAGACAGACAGAGAGGGAAGAAGAAGGGACTCGTGTGTCCGCTCTGGATGGTAACATCAAACCCGGGGAAGTGATTATACCCCTCTTTGAGACTAAAGACATTGACAGGTGAGTACAAATAAATAAATAATGCATAATACATCAGCTGTATTTTAAAGTGAAGTGATATTCCCTTATTTACTGTAAGTATGAAACACTTCCTCAAAGTATTTCATACTAATACATCATAAGTTCCTGATTTGAATGTACACTTTTAGAAGACACACATTGCAGTAAATTAAATAATTCTTGATGTTTACGTGCAGAGCTGCTCTGACCAGTCAGAATAGAGAAGTTCATGAGGGGCATGAGTGATAGCAAAACTTTAGAGGGTTTTTTCTTTCTCCAACGCTACAGAACAAAAGAAGAAGGTTTTGTCGAGGGCAAAAATCAACGTTCAAGCTGCAGGTTTGGAGTTGATCCAGGATGCGGTCCTACCTCGCTCTGCTGCTCGGGATTGTGGCATCTGCTGCTTCAGGTAAGGCCCTAAAGATTTAAACAATGCAATGGGAAGAGGATCACCATAAAACAGACACATACAGTGTTTTTCTTGGTCACTTTCATATTGATTTAAAGATGTAAAATCTGACAATATGTAGCAATGTCTGAAAAAAGCTTTGTGTTAAAGTTTTAAATAAATCCCATTTTAATAATATATATATTCTCTAATAGACATATTTCTCTGCATCAACTGACAAATGATTTATGAAAATACAAACATTACATCTCGTGTATTACGCTCTAATGATTTCATCATACATTTCAAGGCATAAACTCATGGTCAGTCCAGAGGAGCTGAGAAACAGTCTGCTTTTCCATCTGCAAAACACACACTTTGTTTTCCCCATTTTGGTTTGGCTCTGAATATGACACATATGAACATCACCCGCCAAGCATCAAATTTCAATTTCATGTTTTTAAATGTGAGTACATAAAAGCATCTGTTGTTGGGTTTAATTATGGCTGAAGGAATTTGTTTTGCTTTCTGGTGCATTACTGTGAGGTGCTATTGGGTTCGTTTTGAGGTTGGATGAATGGTCCATTGAGACGATGGAACAAGGACTTTTAGGGAAAGACAAATGTTTACACTGACTATCAGGAGGTTCAGAACTAAAATGCTGATTTGTTTCATTCCTAGTTCTCAACAGTACCTTGTTTACTGAATAGAAAAATGCTGAACATGAAATCTTGGTTCTGCTTTAAGCTTCAAAACACACTGTCCAAACCTCTTGCTGACACTTTGATAACCTTTACCGAAAGTGACTGAACTCTAAATGAGAAAGCTTCAGGTTGACAGGAAAGATGTCAGTCTTTCCTGTGTTTTCACAAAAGTTAGCAAACCCGAAAGAATATCCTCAAACTAATAAATCCTATACAAAGTCATAAAAAATCTGAATATATATTCTGATTTTTGTATAAATAAGTAAAGCCTTATATATATATATATATATACATATATAAGGCTTTACTTATTTACAATTCTATTAACACAATTGTTGAGATGGAAAAAAGCAGAAGTGAGAGGGAGGGATTTTATTCGGCTCCCAGTCTTCTGCCTGTTTCCTTAATTCAGAAGGGGGCTTCCAAAATAGATCTGAATCATGGAGCAGGCGAGACAGCTCTGGGTCCTCAGCTGTTGTTTTTTTAAAGACCAAAACAGAAACAAAGTATTGGATTTTCAACAAGGAAAAAAAAGAAAAAGCTTAACTTCAACAACAAAGTTAATATTGATTCATTTGTTCACACACTATGTTTACACAACCTGCAAATAGTCAATAAAGGCCTTCATGTATTCATATTTTGTTCCTTTTCAGCAGAATGGAGGCGTCCAGTGATCAAGTGGAACTCCAAGGTGGTGGCAGGCTCTGAGGTGGTGGTCCGATTCGGGAGCCCTCTGGATCTGAGGTGTGAGGGGGACCGGCCTGTAACCTGGCAAACGCGGTTACCAAAACACAGACGCTACATTTCCAAAGGCAATGGGAACTTCCGCACATTGAAGGTGGAACGTCCCACTGCAGAATTCACCGGAACCTACAAATGTGTTTACACCACTGGGTCACAGCAACTCACCTCCTCAGTGCACGTGTATGTAAAAGGTAAGCTTGAATAAATAAGAAGTGAATCATTTCTGTGATTGTTCACTAGATCTTCTCTGTGTAAATCAAACATCACTCAACTGCTCTTTGATCTAATTCATTCTTTACAACACTTTCTATACCAGACCCAAACCGTGTGTTCTGGACCAGCAGCACGTCTGTGCAGGTGGTGAGGAAGGAGGGGGAGGACTACCTGCTGCCCTGCCTGCTGACAGACCCCGCCGCCACAGACCTGGGCCTCCGCATGGACAACGGCACCTCCGTGCCACCGGGGATGAACTTTACAGTTTACCGGCACCGTGGTATCCTCATCCACCGGCTCCATCCCAGCTACAATGCTGACTATGTCTGCACAGCCAGGGTCAACGGCGTGGAGAAGACCTCCAAGGCCTTTTCTATCAACGTCATTCAGAGTGAGGCCACTTGATTTGTAGGGATGGTCACCCAAAGCTGCCATAGATTCATTTGAAGTGACACGTTCACCAAGTTTGATAATTTTTCATAATTTCTCTTACTCCAGAGCTTCGTTGCCCTCCATATGTTGTCTTGGAGACGGATGAATATGTGCGCATTGTTGGGGAGAAACTCAAGATTCGCTGCACAACACACAACCCGAACTTCAACTACAACGTCACGTGGAAATACACCACCAAGTCGGTCAGTATTTGACATGTTGGGAGTGTCCTTGATTGCTGTAGAGATAGTATTTGTAACTTGGCTTTTATATCCCATATTTTGCCTTTAGAAACCCACCATAGAGGAGAACGTTCGCTCCAATGGAGAAAACCGCCTGGACATAGAGAGCATCCTGACCATTACTGCTGTGGACCTGGCAGACACCGGAAATATTACGTGCACTGGCACTAATGAAGCAGGGGTGAACAGTTCAGCCACATACCTGCTGGTCGTAGGTAAGGAACACAAACAACCATTCCCTCTTTTGTCTTATAGACGGGAATCATCAGCCTCTAAAAACAAATGGTTATGTTTCTGCTCAACAGACAAAGCCTACATCAGGCTGTTGCCCCAGCTCTCCCCTAAACTGGCCCACCAGGGTCTTTCACTGGAAGTGAACGAGGGCGAAGATCTGGAGCTCACTGTGTTCATCGAAGCGTACCCTCACATTACGGAGCATCGATGGCTCACCCCAACATCCCCCAACACCTCCACACAGGAGCAGAAGCTCATCAGATACAACAACAGGTACAACCGTGCTGGTGAAATGGGAGATAAATAGTATAAATGATAATAATACAATAATAATCTCAATATGTGAGTTTTTTACCTAGGGTTCCGGGATTTAAAACTCTGATAATACTCAATGTTATTACTTCAAGATGTCAGCACAGAAAATGAATGTGTGTATCCAAGCCATCTTTGTTTTTTCCGTGGCCCATTTTACACCCTTCAACCAAGATTCATAGATAGCCTGTAGGTTTTCTGTAATCCTGCTGACGAACACAAATACAAATAGACCGAACCCTAAAAAATGTCATTCTTTGCAAATGCAGAAAATAATCATTTGTACTTCAAGGTCTTTACATTTTTCTCAGGTCATGCTAAAGGGAAGAACAGTGTTCTCGTTTTCCTTGTTGATTTACTCTACGACATGTCTGAATGTGTTCAAACTGCAAAATGAGTCATTTCATGTTCCTCTTTTTCTCAGCTAAAAAATATTTGTGTTTTAAGATACCATGCTACTCTGCAGCTGAAGAGAATGAATGCTCAGGAGCAAGGGCAATACATATTGTATGCCCAGAGTGACTTGGCCAATGCATCCATCAAATTCCAAGTCCAGATGTATCGTAAGTGACATAGTAAAAACAAAATCAGTAAACCCATTCACAGTTTTTTGGCACGATTAAATTATCATGTAAAATGAAAATACAAGTCTCATTAAACTCTGAATGATACTTTTCTGTTGGTCTTTCTTAACATTACATTTCTCCTCACTGGCAGAGAGACCTGTTGCTGTGGTTAGATGGGAAAACATAACCACCCTCACTTGCACCTCATTTGGCTATCCTGCTCCCAAAATCATCTGGTACCAGTGTTTCGGGATAAGGCCTACGTAAGTTTCACTGCACCGGGATCATGGAATGTACTTTAAATGATACTTTAAAGGGGTAAGACATTTGTCTGACTGTATATGTTTCGCGATGAGGCAGGTGCAATGAAAACACCTCAGGGCTGCAGCTGGTAATCCCCCTCCAGGCCCCCACAGTGGAGGTCCAGAGGGAGGAGTTCGGGGCCGTGGAGGTGGAGAGCGTCCTCACCGTGGGCCGGTCCACCCGCAGGATGACGGTCGAGTGTGTAGCTTTCAATCTTGTTGGCATCAGCAGCGACACTTTTGCCATGGAGGTTTCTGGTGAGTGTCGTGTTATTTGATTGATGTACTTTTTGAATTGCTATTGTGCCGTCACATGGTGCTTGAACTAAATCGAATGTATTGCTTTCTCATGGTCAGCAGATCCCTTTATGGTGGTTATAAAACTGCACAAATCTGCTTGTATGACACACAGTCCATATAACTAAAATAGTGATTTTTCTCTGGTTCACAGACAAACTATTCAGTTCCACCTTAACTGGATCAGCAGGAATTCTGGCCATCCTCCTTGTGCTTCTTGTTTTCCTATTATACAAATATAAGCAGGTAAGGTTATGCACTAAGATGCTTCAACAAGTCTAAGTTGTAAAGTGTGGTTTGGACGGTTGAAATATTGCCCCAGGACGAAGGCTATCTTCTTGTGTGATGTTTGATGTTGTTGTGGTTTACTATTGGCTCCTTTTTTCCTCTTCAGAAACCCAGGTATGAGATCCGTTGGCAGATCATTGAGGCAAGAGATGGAAACAACTACACCTTCATTGACCCCACCCAGCTGCCCTACAATGAGAAGTGGGAGTTCCCAAGAGACAAGCTGAAGTTAGGTATGCAAAGAAAATAACAATAAAAACAATAGAATCAGAAAAATAATCTGACATTTAAATTTGGATAACTCAAAATGCTTTCTTCTTCTATTTTCTGTTCAACCAGGGAAGATCCTGGGTGCAGGAGCTTTTGGAAAGGTTGTTGAGGCCACAGCCTACGGCCTGGGAATGGAAGAGAATGAGTTGCGTGTAGCTGTGAAAATGTTAAAAGGTTGGTCAATGTCAAGATTATTTAACAGTGATCTTTATCTACATATGCTGTCAGATTGACCGGCCAATTTGAAAATGGCCAAGAGAAAATGTTGCCTAAATTATTTTGAAGATATGATGACAATGTGTATTGTGGTTCTGCAGCCAGCGCCCACTCAGATGAGAGGGAAGCTCTGATGTCTGAACTGAAGATCTTGAGCCACCTGGGACACCACAAGAACATCGTCAACCTACTGGGAGCCTGCACCTACGGAGGTCAGACCACTTCCTGAATTTGTTCTGCATTATGTCCGATAAAAAAAGAATGCTGCAATAACATGTTTGTCGTTCAGTTCCTGGAAAATGTAATTAGCATGCAACCACGTTTCCTTTGTCGAAAGGCTCATAACATGGCGTGTCTCCTCCTCATCAGGACCGGTGCTTGTGATCACGGAGTACTGCAGCCTCGGCGACCTCCTGAACTTCCTTCGCCAGAAGGCAGAGAAGTTTGAGAACTTTGTAATGAGTGTTCCTGACACTACGGACGACTCTAATGACTACAAGAACGTCTGCAGTGACAAACAGTTCATCAGAAGGTACATCACAGGACTTCTGCTGTCTTATCAGGATTTATGAAAAGCATTCTATCTCTGACATCTCCGTCTTTGTTCTCTTTTATTCTTCATCCAACAGTGACAGTGGTATCTCCAGTGCTTCTTCGAGCAGTTACTTAGAGATGAGGCCAACCACGATGCCGAGTATCGAATCATCTCCAGGTAAAAAGCTTCATCCGCAAATCCCAGTTTGAATGGACACAAACACTTTTATTGTGCAGCACAATATTAATAAAAAGCATTAGCCCTACTTCCTGACCCTGGGTCTTACTAATATTATTAATGTTTGGTTCCTTCCAAGACTATGTGTCTGAGGAGGCTGCTGACTGGCCCCTGGACATTGACGACTTGCTGAGGTTTTCCTATCAAGTGGCTCAGGGCCTTGACTTTCTAGCTGCCCAAAACGTGAGTGAGTTAATTACTGAAATTGAAGTCGCACATCTAAAACTTCCTAAAATACCCCAACAACAAACAAAATCCCCTCTGCATTTCCGAAAATAGCAAACAAATTCCCATGTAAAAAATGTGTGTGTGTGTGTGTGTGTGTGTGTGTGTGTGTGTGTGTGTGTGTGTGTGTGTGTGTGTGTGTGTGTGTGTGTGTGTGTGTGTGTGTGTGTGTGTGTGTGTGTGTGTGTGTGTGTGTGTGTGTGTGTGTGTCTGTGTGAGTGCAGTGTATTCACAGAGACGTGGCTGCCAGGAATGTCCTCTTGACCGACCGCAGAGAGGCTAAGATTTGTGACTTTGGCCTGGCCCGTGACATCATGAATGACTCCAACTATGTGGTGAAAGGCAATGTAAGCCCTCGAGTAGAGCTACTTCACATTTACCAATTTGAAGACTACATGAAAATAAAATAAAACGTTTTGTCCTCTTTATATCGTGTGTGTGTAGGCCCGTCTGCCAGTGAAGTGGATGGCTCCAGAGAGCATCTTTGACTGTGTCTACACCATCCAGAGTGATGTCTGGTCCTACGGCATCCTCCTGTGGGAGATCTTCTCATTAGGTCCGAACACACACATATATACCCTACATTTTCACACATGTTTTTTATTATTTGCTTGCTAAACTGTATATTATATTTTACTAGGCAAGAGCCCCTACCCCAGAGTGGCTGTTGACTCCAGGTTCTACAAGATGGTGAGGCGTGGCTACCAGATGTGCCAACCAAACTTTGCCCCAGCTGAGATGTAAGCTTCCCACTTCAGCATCAAAAAGTCTGCTTTATACAGAAATGGGTCACAGCTCATTTTTCCATGCTCACTTTACTTTGTCCAGTCAATGTTGATGTCACCTGATTATCAGTTGAGTTTTACTGGAATATCAAGTGACTATCAGCAGGGTTTTTAGCATTGAGTCAATGTTCATAGTAGCCTTTTTATAAGCTGGATAAATGTTACCAGTTGTTTCAGATTGTTAGACTCTGAGAAACAGAGGCAACTATTTAAATATAAGTTGAGAAGTTTTAACCATGAGTGATTTGTGAAAGATCATTGATTCGAAGTCGACGTTGTACAATTCAAACAGTGTGCTCGCCAAATGTTCATCACAACAGAACAAAGATCCCTTATTTCTCTGCCAGTGTATCTAGCATCTGAACTAACTGACACATAAAGAAACCTTATGAAGTTTCATTATTCCAGATTATTTTTCTGCTTCCGGTTATCTAATATCCCTTAAACACTCCAAACTTAATAAGTGAAATGAGAAATAAGAAGAGTGTTTTTCCCTGTATCTCAGAGGACCCTAACATCTGTGTGTGCTGTTTTGGCGCGGCTGTCACACCACCATGGAACAAGCGTGGAAACAGAGAGGACTGAATCTGAGTCAGAGCCTGCTCATCTGTTGTTCTGCTGTTTGTCAGGCCTCAGTGCTGCCTGTTAGCCACATGATCTCAAAGCTAGGAAGCCATGTAACTGCTATTTCACGGCAGCGTACTGAGACTGGAGGGGAAGAGGTTCTTATGAAGGAGTCTCTCTTATCAAACTGCATCACCACCTCCATAAGCCTCTCTTTTTTTTTACTTTATACAGCTTCCTGATTTTACACCACAACATTTGAGAAAACTCGAGTGTTCAGTTAAAAATATAACCCCCTTAAAATGTATAGCTTAAATGTTTTTTTGTCCTGGAAACTTCTCTAAAATAAATCAGTTTTGTAATACCGTTCACTTTTTGTCCAGCTATATAATCATGAAGATGTGCTGGAATGTGGAGCCGACAGATCGTCCCACATTTAGCAAGATCAGTCAGATGATAGAGAGACTACTCGGGGAGCAGTCTGAGCGGGAACAGGTGAGTTGGTGTGAAGCACATTTCAGAGACTCAAAACCTGCTTTACCAAAACTATCAATAGAACAAATCATGTGGCGCCCCAGACAAAGTGTCCTCAGGAAACTCTCATTTTTAAATTCAATTCTCTCTGAGATTAAGCTAAGCTGTGAAACCAATTCAAATAATTAGATCCTTTGTGATAACATCTTATTTGGGTGCTGTTCCCAAGGGCGACACGCACATGTTCATGTTGTCTGAAAGCTATTTTTTCCTATTATCACACCAAAATATTATGAAGCTGAGATCAGTCTTTCTTGGTATCACCGTCCTAATGCTGCTTCTCCACAGCTAATCTACCAGAATGTGCCACAGCAAGTCACAGAGGGTGAAGTGTGTGACGAGCCCAAGTCGTGCGACGGGCCCTCTGACCGGTCTTGTGACCACGAGGAAGAGGAGCAGCCTCTGATGAAGACCAACAACTATCAGTTTTGTTGAAAGCTAACCGCCAATCGATACGAAAAGAAAATAAAAAAACTCATTGGCAAGCATCAGGGAAGTGGGATCAGCTGAAGCCTGATGCCAGGGTACCACGGCTTGTTCTAACCACCGGACAGTCGCAGAGAGTCATAGCTATTTTTTGCCTGTTGTGCTGTTCGCCAGACAGGCAAGCAGCAGCAGCAGCAGCAATCATGTGACTTGCTTCTTTGCAAACCATGACTACAAATTGCCATGTCTAACACTGACTGAAGAAATGAAAGGAGGAAACATGTCAACTAACTGCACAATTATCCAAAGATCCACCACAGACTCTTCATTCCTACTTCTGATATGTATTTGAGGTATAATCTGTTATCAAAAGGATATCTGTTAGTCCTTTCTAGGGACGTAGCACAAAAGGAAGGACCCTTACAGTCCTTAAGGGCCCCTAGCACAACCACAGCTATTCATTCTCATATTTTGTGTTGGCCTTCCTCACATGAGGGCCTTGTATACTCAGTTCCCTATTTTCCCCAGTCCTACGCCCCTGGTCACTTTCCTCAGAGAGTGTTCCTATTATATATTGTACACTGTGTATTTTTGTATTACTGCCTTATGCCTGGTTTTTGTGGAGGTATCAGTCAGGTTCCCTTCCTTTTTACTATGTTATTGCATGTATGGTTTTTCAGAGGAAGAAACTCAGCGGTCACGTTAGATCCACAACAACAGCTGCTCATCTTTATATGCTGTAGACACGTTTTATTCTACAATCACCTCAAAAGAACATCTAAACAGTGCGAGTGTTTATCCCTGTTTTTAACGTGCTAAATCAACTGTGGAGAAGCCAAAGAATGGCCATGTTGTTTTGCTCGCCGTGGTTTGGTCACAGCTGTATTTCTTGTTACATACTTACAGCAGCTGTCAGTTGGTGGCAACATGTGATTCACCCACCTCTATCTAATGAATTAGGCATTGTTAAGTGTGATTTAGGAGCAGGGAAATCCGTTCTGGATCAGGTGAACAATGTTTCATGTTTGACAATGTGAAAGTATTTTTTGTTTTTTGTGAGGCACAACTTATCCTCTCCGATGTCTGGATGTAGCGGACAGCCTTCACTGCCAACTGTTTGAAGATATTAGATTAACGTAGAAGATTATAGGATAACCTATAAGCTATGTGAGATACAGACTGCAAATGCGTGTGTCTTCAGGCATTTCAATTGTGCTTGCATCTGAATGAAACACGAGTGAGGTGTCTAATAATGTATAAATCTCATTAAGTAAATCAAGAATTATCTATATTTTTGCTGGAATGTTGTAGAGTAGATATTTCGGTACCACTTTACAATAAGACTACCCTTATAAAGGGTTTACGAATAGTTTTTAATTCATTTATTAATTAGGTTGTGAACACTTTATAAATCATTAATAAGGTTTTATAAGACATGAGAAACAGGGCAACTGTGACCGGTTGCTTGCCAAATAGTGAGCCCACATGTATCTGTACTGCTAAGTCTTATATTGGCTAACTATAGTTACTTTGTCTTCTTCATCAGCCAGCATCCTTGGTATCTGTTGCTCACTGAGTTGAGTCTCGCTAAGTAGCCAATATAAGGCTTTGTCATCTTGCCAAATAGTGAGCCTGTGTTGATGTATGAAAACTGTTAGAACTGGTTTATAAATGGTTCTTAATGATAAATAAAGTGTTTACAACCTAATTCATAACCTAATTATAAACCCTTTATGAATCCTTTATAAGGGTACTCTTATTGTAAAGTGGTACAGAAAAATCTCTTTGTTTTCGTGATGTCCAAACCTAAAGAATATTTAGTTAATGCTAACAAAGGACAAATAGTAGCAACAACCCCTCACTTTTTTAAATTCATCTTAATATTTAAGAAGTTTCCCCATTGAAGGCTGTTCAGACCTTGTATTTCATAACAATCCTACAACACTGTGTTCTTATTGGATGGGTGATCACTGCATCCCTCTCCTGCTGCAGTCTCCAGTGACTGAGTCATATTATTGGTTGTATCTGGCTGCCATTTAATTTTGGGCCCGTGCCCAAGTGTGGGCCGACGGTGTGCCCCCTAGCTGCTCTCAGACCTGTTAAACAGCCTTTAAATACAAATTGCAGAGATGACAATACACTCCCCCTACACAGGACACATGCAGCCCCCACATGCTTCTAATTAGCCCAGGCACCATAAAGGTGTTGTGTTCATGTGTTCGTAATGCATGTGTGTGCAGGTTTGTGTGCAAGCATACGTAGTGTGTGTCTGTTGAGGGAACAGGCGGGTGTTAACTGCAAACACCTGAAGCTTGTAAGCAGAGTTGCTCTCTATGACACAGTTTGCCTAAGCCTTAACGACTGCTTGCCGTGTCGTATCTGTGAGCATAAAAGTGTCACAATGCTGCTTTTACGGAGGGGAAACCAGAGATAAATGTTCTTTGGCATCAAAAACTATTTATAAACAGTGTCTCTACAGCTGTGACTGAACAAAAGCGCTTTGCCTACAACATTTTCTTTAGAAGGAAGTTATTAAGTCAGAAGAGCCAATGACAAATTCAACATCATCATTTCCAGTGCGGCTGCAGAAGTGCTGCCCCCTGTTGGGCCCCTGTCTTCATGCAGGCTGTAAGGTGAGCACCGTGATGTGGCGGGCATAGATTTAATGGCTGAAATGCCACTCATGCTGTGTGGCAGTGTGTCCCTCACACACACATACAGGCAGGAATACTTTGGCCTGTGATCTTGGTGGTGAGAGATTCAGGTTTCAGGTGGGAAGAGCTGGTGCTAAAGGGAGAGGAGGGTCTCTTCTTACAGTGTCGTGTTGAGAGAGCTGCCTCTGTCGGCCCCTCAAAGGTTCAGTGACAGAAACGTACACACCCACACACATATACAACACCACACACAGCCATATGGGACCATGACCACTGCACAGTCACACTGATGGGATGCACAGCTCAGCTCAGATAAATGTACATACAAACTTCTGCATGAATCATGTGTTAAGTACTTGGCACAAACACATGCTCACTCCTAAAAGTACCGAGCTCATGTGGACTCTTGAGCCGGAGAACCTGGAAAATCTCTAGGTTTTATCAGCTGAGAAATTCTCTTTATAGCACATTTTATGGAGAAAAATTAGCAATCTGGAGAATCGTTGGACGTGGAAAAAAGTATATTTACAGGGAAACGGTTGCATCTAAGCCGTAATAAACAAAATAGCCTTTTGTTTCACAAAATAAGGCATCTTACCAGTACCAAAAACTGGAAAGAGAAAACTTTAAAAATAGACTCCTAAATAGTTGTGGAGGGATTGGATTTAAGTGCCAAAACCACATGATTACACAGCAGTTAAGAACAATTGACAGGAAATGGGATTTAACATTTGATACAATAATATGTTCTAATGAAAAAACGTACATTCAAATGCACAAGAACTGGCAGAAGGATTACAGGCTAATTGGGCAACAAGTATCTTATTATAATACTGAGTAATGCTTAGTACAAATTCATAGAAGTAAAACTACACTTACATTGAGAGCACTCTGCTGAATCCAATGCCAACAACACTTGCAACAACTTTGTAAAACAGAGACCGCAAGCTATCTTAGCACAGCAGCCTTCAGACTGGAAAACAGAATGTGTTGAAAGGGGGCCAAAAATTCCACTTGTGAACGTTTTCACCTGTTCTCGTTGTTGCAGGGCTATTCACACTCGCAGATAAAGAGGAAGAGAGAAGAAACAAGAGCCAGGGAGAGAAATGTCCCATATGTGCAGAGAAGCAGCTTAAATGCTTTAACCTATTGATACAAAAGTCACACAAAATAGAGACATGTTTGCAACCACATACTCAGTAGGATTCCACTTGAGTTGCAATTTACAAAAGGTCCTGAATGCAAGCCTGAGAATTTCTCTGGCAACAAACCACAACTTTCCTCTCCAAAGGTGAGGTAAAAATAGCCAATGTTAACCATTGAACACACTGATGATCACACCGACTGATGCTTCATCAATACATCAAATGGAGCAGCATCTTTACCCAAAATAGAAAAAACAACATATTTCTTGCAAAGTTATAACGGGGGACTCTGTGTGTAACATGATGTGGATCACACACTGTTCTCCACCCGTGGAACTATCACAAGCCCTGTAACAAACACCGCAAGCCAAACGTGGCCAATCTTGGCGCTTGGCTGCTCCATCTATAAAAGTGAGCATCCCCAACTGACTTTCAGGCGGCAGGGCTGAGGCTGGACGTCCCGACCCCGCTGATCTGCTGAGTGCAGAACCCTGCCGTCTCAGTATGGGCCCTGCCTAAGTGAAGGGGCCGATTTCCTCCACACAGAAACACATTCTTATTGTTCAGATACACATACACTCTCAGTTCAAAAGAGCATCACAGACAGATAATCAGGTTTCTTAGCCTTCAGTCATGTCTTGACTGTAACTTTTACCTGATAGGCTGCAGAGTTGTTGTAAGTGGTACTAATACCATAAAGAAAGAGACATACCTGGAGGGCAGGAGCACTCTTGGCCAACGTCCCTAGTTGTCCTTAATTTCGGCAACAGCACCACCACTTTCTGCAGGCAGAGAAAAAACACCTCAGTTTAAAATCCCAGTTCTAGACATGAATATATTTTTAATAAGGAAATCATTAAGAAAAATTACAGAGAATAAAAGATTTACAAAATCTCAATGACTAACAATAAAAAAAGTCTATATCATCTGTCTCCCATTATATAAAGCTCCAAAATTGAAAGGGCTACCTCAATTCCTTTTCCATTTGATCAAATTATAGGTTGGGGTCTCATCAGTGTTTATATCACTCTATAAAGAGCTTTAACTGTAAACGTAATTAGCCAGCTGCATGCAATGTTGACCCCTACGGTCATACATTAAAAACAAACTGATTTTAGGGGGAATAATTAGGGAGCAATTGCCAAAAAAGTGCCAAGTCTGTGCGTTTGTCAACCTCAGTGCACTTTTACGCACAAGTCTCTGTCAGAAGTTCACAAACACAATGTAGGCTGTTTATTTAATACAATAGAGGCCATTTAAGACAATAGATGCAATGTACCTCTTCCACGAATTTCCCTACTGATGAGCTCAGCTCTGGAGTTAGGGTCCCATCCTCGTTTAGACAAGCCCTGTGCGGCTGGAAGATGGAGGCTTTGTCCATCTGCATCTGCATTCGGCTCTCCAGCTGGAAGGTCTTGAGGCTCATCAGAAGACACACGGTGATGGAGCTCATAGACAGCAGCAGGCACAGAGCGATGGGAAAACCTGGAAGCCACCGCTGCACCGAAGACTTGGGCGCAAACTCACACACAGGCTTACTTTCCCCGATAGAGTGGCTGGCTGTATCCATTGTAAAATCCTGTTTACAGTCCTCTGGATGAACATAAAGTACCCCAAAAACGCCGTTTTGGAGGTGTAGTTTTACGGTTAAACTCAGGCTCCGTAGAGTAGACAGCGCACCTAACACAACACTGAACTCAAAGTTGAAAGTGCTGTCTTAAATTAGTCTGGAACAAGAGGCAGGAGCAGCGACAGTGCACACCGGGTTTACTCCAAACACATGGGAGCGATATGCATGCCAACCAGAGTGAAAGGCGCCTTCAAACGTACTGGACGTTGTTTCCTGTTGGGGAGTATCCACCATGGATGCACGACTGAAACTACCACTGGGGCCAATTGTTTGCCTCCCTAAAAGTTGCATGTTCAACTAGTTGAGATGCGCCCGCCCTGCTGACCACGTGGGAGGCTGCTGATTGACAGCTGAGAGACTGGCTCGGCACCTCAGCACTGTACGGTGTAGTCCAGGATGCTAATTGTTATTTTTCTAAAACCAATGCAGAATTTTTTGAAGTGAAGATAATGTGCCTTGTTGTGTGATAAACTGACATGTAAATATAGTTTACATTTCCAAACTTACAAACGGTTTCTGTGTTCAATACCTGACCCCAGCAGTGACTAGCCTATAGGCCTATTGTAAAAAAGAAGCATCTGGAGGATCATATAATATTGCAGATCCTTCAGCAAATGTTTAGTTCACAGAGAAGGACGTAATTCAATCAATATCTACTCTATTTAGAAACTTAAATAATACGAAAACTGCATGTATATTAGTTTTTGATGTCCGATAGTTTGGATTATCTTTCAGCCGGCAGTAGCTCAGTGCCTATATGACCTGACTGAAGCAGAGAGTCCCAATATGAGTATGGAAACGCAGTTTGGACTGGTACTGAGGAGCAAGGTCACATCACTGCTCATAACACTAAAATGGGTTAAATGCAAAGGCTAAATGCACTGTGTTGTGCGGTTAGCATTAACGATTAAGAGGTGTTTCTATTGCAATCTTTTATTTCCATTAGTTTCATTGTTATACCCAATTTCTACTTAATTATCATTTTTGAAAGGGTGCAGTTTTTCATTCTACAAGTGGTGTACAACGTTAATAGCATTAAACATTTTCTGTTGGCGCCGTGCTAGGAGCTCCAGGTCAAGATCCATCTATCATTTTAGTTAATGCTTTGCCACGACCATGTTAGCCCACAGTGCTCATCAGGCGGCACTCTTGCAGTAACCTGAAAGCTTTTTACTGCCACCCGGTGGTTACATGAAGCTACTGCAACTGAACATCTCAATCACTGCACACACAGGAGACATTATTATCATCTATTCACGTTTATTGAGAAAAATGTACACAATACTGCAAAAATCAGTGAAAAAAAAGAAATATCAATAACAAAATGTATGTACAAGGATTTTCTGCCCGCAATAGCTTTTTTTACATCCATAGTGCTGAATAAATTACTACTGGTAAGGCTGATGCTGGGTAAACCTAATCTCGTTCTGGTACATTCCTCACTTCACAATGCAGAAAGACAATGGACAAAATTGGACTTGAATTAAAAAAAGGCTTTTACCAGAATTAAATGAGCAAATAAATATAAATCAATTTGGGAATTCCTTACATCGGAAATGGCCACAGAAGATAACAGGGCTGGTTGATGAGTTTGATTGAGTAAGAACACACTGGCGTAGGAGAGGACACAGCAGAGCAGGGCAGAGGACTGATACAGTCAGCGAGGCCACACCTCTCCTGGAGAGGCAGGAAGTAGAGGCTGCGCTGTCACCATGAGAAACGTCATGGTGACAGCCAGGCCCTGACCAAGGTCACAGGGCAGAGCTTCAGTCTTTTTTGCTGCTGCTGGTGCTTCTGCGGCTGCTCTTGCTGCTGCTCTTGCGGTAGCAGGAGAAGAAGGGGTGCTGCAGGGCCTGCTCCAGACTGAGGCGCGTCGCTGGGTCGTACTCCAACATCTTCTCTACCAGATCGAACAGCTGGTGGTGGTCCTCGCCCTTAGACAGCATGTAATTCTGATGGGAAAAAAAAAGTGACAGTTAGTCTAAGAATACTAAATAAACAAATCATACTGATATTTTTTAGAAACAAAAAAGGTAGCTTACTTATATACAGTTCAAATGGTTGTCCTCTACATATCATACGTGTGAACTACATGCCGCATGGACAGACATTCTCTTACCTTGAGGGGTTTGCAGTGTTTCTTGACATATCTCCCAGAAGAGCTCTGTGGATCCCAGTCAAGCTTGCACCGATGGATATACCGCCGCTTCCTGTACACACGAAGATAAAACCATTTCTACGAGTTAGAAACATTTCTTTAAATTCTGTCTGCATTGTATATGTTCAGGAGGAAGCAAGATGGTAAAAAAACATCAAAAGTTTAAAATCCACATACTTTGTTTTCTGCATGAGTTTCATTGGGATGGGGCCCAGGACTCGCTCCATCATAGCAAGGTGCTCTTTACTGTCATGAGTCTGAAGGAGAAAACAATATCACTCTTAGCAAAATGCCATGGTAACTGATACAGTGCTTAAGGTGCTAGCATTCTTAATTGCACATAAACCAAAACTATCCAGGCTCTGGAAGCCTTTATCCTACCATACTGTTATTATAGTTGATATTAGAAAAACCCTGCTTCTTTATACCCACAGCATTACATTTAGCTAATACGTTTGTTACCAACTGTAAATATCATTTTTATATTGTAAGTATGATAATCAAATGCTAGCTCAAGTTTTGTCCTTGTCTGATATGAGACGCTAAGAGACAACACATATGATGACAGTATTGTTTCATTTGAGTTAAACAATAGTTGGTTTTACACGAGTGAACGTGTAGACGATCTTCTAAATATGCTCGAAATCAAGCTTTTCGTAAAGGACGATATGAGACCCAACCTATTCATTACTTGTAATACTTGGTTAAAGCCGTTCCCCATGAGTCATACCTGGAAGAGAGTATTTCCAAGGTAGTACTCAATGAGAATGCAGCCCACGCTCCAGACATCACAGGCATGGCCCCAGCCCAGATCTGAAAGAGGCAATGTTCCCTGAATAAGACATGTCTCTGCTGAAGGATCTGCATAAGATGCGTTAAAAACCGCCACATACCTAGAATGACTTCAGGAGCCCGGTAGTGACGGGTCGACACCACAGAGGTGTGGTGCTCGTGCTCATATGTGGCGTTACCAAAGTCCACAAGCTTCACATCTGGGTTCCTCAACGTCCGTTCATCCCGTTTCTGAGTACAAAAACACATCATGCTATAAAACAGCTGCACAAAATAACAGAACGTTTTAGAATGTGGCCAATGCTTCAGAAGGCATGAATGTTCTTGATAAAAATGTAAGATCCTTACCAGGTCAGGGTTGTACTGCATATTATATCCCGAATCAATGAAGAGAATATTCTCAGGCTTCAGGTCAGTGTGAGTCAGCTTGTTTTTATGCAGAACTGAAAGACAAGACCACACACACATTCAAAACCAATCCTTTAAACTGTATTCTCCATTTACAAATGTGTCCGTCACTCACATCGCACAGCTCTGATGATCTGGTACGCCATGGGCCTGATGTGTTCAATGGGGAACGGCTGGAAATTGTTCTCCTTGAGGTAATCGTAGGTGCTGAGGCCGAGCAGCTCAAAGGCAATACAAATGTGGCCGTGGTAGTCAAACCACTCCAGTATGTGTACGCAAGCACTAGAGAGGAGGAGAGGACATGCAGTCAGTTTCTTGAGATTGTAAATTCTGAAAATACATTGACCACTAGGTGGTGATCTGTATTAGTGGCCTGACTTACGATCTCTTATCCAAGTCGAGGGACTTCAACTGTTCAAGCACCTCTACCTCAGCCATAGCTGCCTCACGGTAGCGGTCTATGCTTTTAATGATCTTCAGAGCCAATCGAGCTCCATCACTGGAAACACACAACATACTTTTAATATCAAAATTGTGGGATAGTGAGTTTTTTTAATTTTAATTGAACTGTAAGGAATATTCTCGTACTTAGAGTGATCAATGCATTCGACGACCTTCCCAAAGGCCCCTTCTCCTAGAGTACACACAATCTCATCTACAGAAAATAGAAAGCTGAAGTTAGCACCACAGAACAGAAAAGGTGAAGCACTGCCTTTAGGCTGTTGCACTGCCTGATGTTTCATTGCTCTGTTTAGCTACACTTCTATAAACAGGCATCTGAACACTTGACTGCAACTCAATGCTAAATGTGTTACACTGACAAGCAGTATTTAAAAAAAAAAAAAAAAAGTATTAAATCTACTGGCCAAAATACAACAGCGTCTAAATTAATGTTTAGAAATAAAAACCAGACAACAAGAGAGTGAGAGACACAAAGTGTGATCAACAGTAGAAAAAAAAAGTATATATTCTATACATCTCGCTCTCAGCATGTCTCCACTGTGATAGATGAGGTGACCCTCGTCATCATCCTCAACACTCCTGGATCTTTTCCTGCTCCTGCGCTGTTGGCTCCTCCTCTGCACCCGGAACCGCCATCACATCAATAACCCATCAGTCAGCCACCACAATGCGACATCGTCATTCATTCAACCAGGCCAAGGGGGGAGGTGTAGGGGTGGATAGATTCGGCCCGTTCAGTAACACCGGCAGGCGAATGGACGGGAGGACGGAGCAGCAAATTCAAATTCAGCCCCGTCAGAGAAATTGGGCGGCAGCCACCACATAGTGTGTGTTACAGAAGAAAAACATGGCAACAAGATTTTCAGATGAGAGACTTTCTCAGAGTAGTACAGAAAAAAACTGAACTTGATTGATGACAGTCTATCTACATGTAGTTCTCTGTAACTCTTCCGAAACAAATACATTATTTACCATCACGTCCTATTACTGCAAACTAAGATTTAAGCACAAAAACAGGGTCCATTTTTTCTATAGAAAATCTTTTAACACTCACAGGGTCTTACTTGCTGAACCCCCTACTTGTCATTATTGAAAATCATGCTTAAATAGTTAAGAGTTGGATACACATAGAGACAAAGAGAAAGGTGTTAGGCATTGGCTTAACACCCATGATGGCCCATCTGATTTGGTGAAAAAGACAGGAGAGGGGAGAAGCGTGGAGAAGGATTTTCCCGTACCGTGGAAGACCTGGGGCGAGAGGGGCTCCGCCTGCGCCCTCGGTGCCGGCGGCTGCTTCGCCTGCTGCGACCGCTGCGCCCGGACGACTTGCTGTAGTGGTGCCAGTCACGCTCTCTGTCCCTGTAGGTCCCTTCACGACTGTCCTCCTCACAGGCCATGCCAAAACTGGGATCCCGTGTGGGTCTTTCCCAAGAATCCAGCCTACGGTTCTGACTGCGGGTCTCCAAGTAATGCCTGCAGTCAAACAGAAAAAGGACCAAAACAAATCAAAACCAGGGAGCAGAAAGTCAGGTCGGAAACAGCCTGGCTCCCTGTCTGTGATAACGCTCTCGAATGAAGACTGCATATGATGGTGCTAATAGTCTGCCACTTGCTTGACACTCTACCCTGAGCCTTTTATGTCACGTTTGTAATTAGCAACAAGCTGATTTGCAGCCACCAAATACCCAACGTCCTGCTTAATGAGAGGCCATGGTTCAGAGAGAATTATATTAACTCTCCGTCACTACGTAGGTAGTGCTTTTTGTGGTATGCAAATTCAACATGTGACGTAACAGGCGGTTATAACATTTATAAAGCCATCTCATTGGCAACTGTAAGCATTCCTTGAATCCTGTTCAACCTGACAGAAAGCCACATTTGCTGACAGTGAGGAAAGGAAAGATGCGGAAAGCTTTTCACCACGACGTGCTGTGCAATATGTTCTGTGATTCTGCACCTGCATAGCTACTCTACAAGTGAACTGTGTTGTACCATATTTATCAAGGCCAGGGAAATGTGTTTGTTGCTTATAAAACATAATTTTTTCCATTACCTGCCAACAGTTCCTTTAATATGCCTTGCTGAAAGTAATCCTAGAGTTTGCTTATTAAGGTTGGTCTCATTAGAATGTTTGCAATGGCTTCCAGCACACCCACACTGCAGGCCATGTTAGCACCTTAGCATCTAAAAGGGATCAAGAAACCCCTAGAGCCCTGGCACCCTGCTGGTGTCAGTTGTCTTCCAGAAAGAAGTCTGCCCCCCTACAGAATTAAAATTAGAGTAGAGCTGGAAACATCTACCCCTGGGCCATCAACAAAGAGAGAATTGCAAAACGTATTAACATCGCAAACTGAGGGAAAGTGGGTTCTTATTCTAAGTGTATTTAATTACAAAAACACAAAAGGAATGGATATACAAGACTTACCTTGTAGCACAGGCAAAGGACTGGTTGTTTACTAAACTGAAGTCTTATAAAAGTAACTAAAAGTTCAGCTCAAACCATGGCAGTACAACTCAATCTTAATCTAAAACGTAGAAACCGTATTGAGGGAATTATCCTATACATTTTCACAGAATGACTATAATTCAAATCTTAATGATCTACATGTCTAAATAGTTGCTCCCTAACTAGCTTAACCAGTGTAATAGCATCCATTTAGCATATTAAGACAGGTATGATCTGGCCCTTCCTACATCCAGGACATGGTTAAACTGTACACCCCAGCACGTGCACTCTGCATCAGCCAAACGGCTCGCTGCACCCGCACTGCGAGGGTGACCCAAGTTCCCATCAGCAAAAACACGTGGGTTTGCTATCCTGGCTCCAAAATGGTGGAATGAGCTCCCCATTGAAATCAGGACAGCAGAAAGCTTACACATCTTCCGGCGCAGACTGAAAACTCATCTCTTTCGACTCCACTTCGAGCGATAGAATTACTAACAAAGCACTTATATACTAATAAAGGGCTGGCTTATCTAAAGCCAGTCGAGTAGCACTTGAAATGTTTTAGCTCTATGAAACCTGATGTACTTATATGATCCTGTTTTCTTCAAGTTTGTATTTTGTTGGTCGAACGCACTTATTGCAAGTCACTTTGAATAAAAGTGTCAGCTAAATGCAATGTAATGTATTACACACGAACAACAAATCTGAAATAATGCAGATCTGACCGGATTGTTGACATATCTGCCATTTCGATGTTGGGTTACAAATATGATTTTAGGGATAAAGTAGTAGACAGTATATATCCTTTATTTGTGCATGTTCCCATATGTTATAAAATATTTGTGTAACAGCTGTTCCACAGGAGGTCCATACATTGCATTTGTTCCACAAAACCCAGGTGGAAATTATAGTATATTTAACACTTAGCCATTCTCCTGGGCATTACTGGATATAATGAATAATGTTCTCCTCAGTTAAAATGAAGGTTATACAAAATTTGAAAATGGTACTTTACAAAAAAAAATACTGAAAGATATTTACCCGTCATAGGTCCGGTGGTGAAGTTGAGTTCTTCTTGACTTGTTTTCTCTTTCACTGCTATGTGAAAACTGTTTCTTTCGCTTACGACACTCCATTCTCTCCTCCCAGCTATACTCATCAAGCCAGACACCTGGGGAGCGCATTCGCTTCGACTGGCGCATCTGAAAGACATGGGAAACAGGTCAAAATGGAATTTCACTGCATTGGGGGATTGTTTCCAGAGATGCTGCTCAAATGTAAAAGAACATTCAACTGCCTATCGTGCATTTGGTGGGGGTGTAGCCAGATTCTCGCTTCATCTTCTCAAATGAGAACAAGTATATATATATATATATCATTGAAAAATATAAATATATCCAAGTGTTGGACAGTGTCAAACTGCCCAATTTGGGCTCTGACAAGACGTTGTTGGTTAATGTTTTTAAGTAGGTTTTAACATTATGAATCAATGGGGAAACTTTTCATAAAAAATAAGATCACACCGAAAAAGTGCTCATCCGTTGCAGCTCTAAAACGATCGCAAAACAGAACATTCTTCATAATAATTGCGCAACGTTAGCAGGTTGAAAACATTGCAGTGCATTACAAGTAATGACGTTAATAATAAAAAACTAAAATACTAACGGATAAAGCGTTATATTAAACGTAGGTTGATAAAAATGCCATACGGGTGGCATAAAACGTGGAGAAGCTATAACGCTGGCCGACGTAGGGCGATGTCAGGCCGTAGATCTTCAGTTATCATGCAGTTCCAGAAACTTCGACCATTCAAATCTTAATCGATTGCTGAAATGATATAAGGTAATTTGCAACTCAAAATGAGGCAAATGTCTTTGTTAAGTCTTTAATTGGAAGGTTAACCAGTCGATGGCTCGACGTAAATAAAGCATCGAGTCGTCGACCCAAAGGCCCGTCGAGCAGGCTAACTAATGCTAGCTTTTAAACTTTAGCCACAACAACACGCACATTAAGTGAGTGAGCCTACCTTTGAAATTAATACATTTTAAAATGTGAGTAGTAGCAACAAGCGATGTTTACTGTCAAAACTATATTTAGTGCCACCCAAACATTCCTACTTAACCTGTTGAAAGTATTCGATGGAATAAATTCTCGTAGCAAGTCACAGCTAATTAGCGACAGAGATCTGCCATGGCGGCCGTACTTCGAGTTTTGGAAAGCTAACTAGCTAAAGTTGGCTAAAAATATAAGGGAATGTTCCATGGCTTAACTATTGGCAACATAATTAAGTGTCAGCTAACCATGATTCAAGAAGTGGACTTACCTGGTGTTTCAATTAATGAGATTCGATAGTGTATGTTAGGTTATGTTAAAAATGCGAACAAAGGATAAAAAGGTTCCGACTAGCCGTCTTCAAAGATGGCGATCTGTGCCTGATTCCGAGGGAAGTTGAACGTCGTCAAACAAATCCAATGACGCAATAGCAACGCCCCCTGCTATGAAACATGGGCTTTTCTTTCCTGAGTTTATCCTTACAGGTAAAATAAAGCGCAAAGCCAAAGAGGCTCCCGTGTAAAATGTGCAATGTCCCCTGTTGAACATTGCATGGAAATGTACAATATCCACTGTTTAAAATGCATTAATCCATTCTCTCCTCTCTTGATGATCGGGCAGAATATTTAGTAGGCTACTTGTTTTAATATTGCTTTAACAGCCCACATTATTTTTGATCTATTTTACTTTAGCATATATGTACATTATCTATGGTCACACAAAGAGGAGAAGAAAGACCTAAATGCCTTTAGACATAAAGGCATTAGGCCACCATTCATTCAAACAATATCACAATTTGATACAGTTCAAATTTATTTGGATGATGGTTATTCTTACCCATGCCTTGTTTGTTTTTTTAAGTTTTCTTCCATAATTTCCATCTACATTCATTTGTTCAGACCGAGAATTGGATTAAACAAACACACTTCAAAAAACAATGGAGTAAACGGCCCATTATACAACTTGCCTGAGATACTAAACGCAGGGTAACTAGACCCACGATCCTTCGCTTTGAATTGTGGGAAAGAAATGTCTGCGCCCTGTGTTCATACTGAGGAACACCTTACCTAAATGTATTTACTGACTTTTTGAAATTGTAAACGAAGACCTCTTAATAAGGCCAAGTGTAGATAGGTGTTTTGGTTAAAAACATTAATCTGAAGATGTCGGAAAATACGCAGAAGGACAGGGTCTCTGGAAATGCCCTCACCGGAGCTATTATTTCTGAAATGCTGGGGAAGAACTTCGAGAGACTGCCTGACTTTGATAAGAAACTCTTCCTCTACGGACCCTTGTATCTGGCGGGGAACGGGGCTCTTGCAGGATTGATATCCAACAGCTTGTATCGCAGAGGCCTGAATGTCACGCAGGCGGCCATCTCCTCCAGCCTGCCGCTGGCTGTGATGCCCTTCCTGACAACATTTGCCCTTTACAACGGTGCAGTGTCCGGCCCCCTGCTGTCCGGGGATCTCAACTGTCCCACCTGTGCCCTGATCCGGGGTGCACTTGTTGGCGTGTTCGGTGGTGGCCTGTACCCTATCCTCCTGGCTCTACCTGTGAACTTTGGGCTTGCATCCAGGTACAATACAGCACCGATGCCAGAGAAGGGCAACATGTTCCGGTACTGGATGGACCTCTCCAAACCGGTCCTGAGGAAAATGAGAGCGGTGATTCTGCTCCAGGCGGTCTTTGGCACTTACCTGGCCTCCAGGCACTTTGACACGTACACCAAACTGGCGGAGTTAACATTTGACCCAAAGGAAGAAGAACTCAAAGACTAACATGTACTAAACCCAAAAATTAAATTTGTTTTAAGTCATTCTCAACGCCCCTTGGTTGGTATATCATGTGCTTATCAAATTAATCATCTCAAGTGGAATGTACCTGAGATATTTTTCCACCACAAATTAAATGATGTTTCTTTTATAAAATTGCCTGTATGTCTATATTATCATTTACATTATAATACATACATTATGTAGTATTTATTAGTTTATTTTTGCAGGATAAAATAATTTCATTCAATTCCTGCATGTGGTATTTATCACATATCACATTTATCGCTTATCTTAATCGTTATATGTCCTTAATAATTTAGGCTGAAAAAATGAATTGACGTCATCTTCAAAAATGTAATCGTCAACCATTTTGATAATTGGTAAAGTCATTAAAACATATCTGCTGGTTTCAGTCACTCATAAGTTTCTATTTTGTTTAACATTTGAAATTGCATACTTTTGGATAAAAGAGAAGAAAAGCCGTTCACACAGATCTAAAAGCAAAGAAAAGGACAATGCTGAAAAGGATGAGAAGCATTGCAAACACAAGGCAAAGAAAAAAGATAAATCTCAAATCCGCAGTAAAAGTAAAGAGAAGAGTAAGAGGTCAAAAAGCAGAGAGAAGAGTCACAAAGACAAAAGTGAGGACAGAAAAGGTCGCTCGAGGAGCAAAGACCAAAATAAGAAAGAAAAGCAGTCAGAGTCTGATCACAGTAGAGATAGAAATAAGAGTCATGAGTCTGATAAAAAGCCTAAAGAGGATGCCAAAGGTAAAAACGGTGAGAAGATTAGGACAAAGTCACAAAGAAAGGAAAGACACAGTTCAAAATAGGAAACTTACGGAAGACCTGGACTGACACCAGTACGCTCGGGGCTGGTGTAGGGTGTTACACTTGGTAGAAGTGAAAGCGATAGCTAATGTTATGAGCATGTAAAATGTTAACAGATTAATGTGAAGTTCAAATGATTTAAGAAGTTTAAACTATTCGTCTCCGGTGTTTACTGTAGGTTTATATTTGTGAGAACCTGGCAAAATGTGAGGGGTGGTAATGACTACTAAAATACTTTGGACAACACTATTTAGACAGTAAAGTTATTGGTGCCACCAATCAATACAGCTTCATGAATTAAGGGGTGTGAACCATGCACAAAGGTTTCTAAAGATGCCAAGGATCTGTAAGAAAATCAACAAAAGAAGTTCATGTGACAAATACTTATCCTGAACCTCTTACCTACCAAATTGACCAGGAAAAAAGGGAAAA